AAGAAACAGATGGAAACTGGTCACTTCAAATTAAGAAATGAAATCAACTCCCCAAGAACTAACTTATAAAGTTAATATAATCATTTTTATTGCCTGATTTTAATTCTCAATGTGGATAAAGATGGTGATTCTCACCACAACTGTTTTTTTGGCACTGATTAAAATATTGGGCAGTAATAGAAGTAAATAAGCAGTTGTTTGAACACTACAGTTTCAGTGACACAAACCACTATCAACCTGATTGAACACCAGCTATCTGATTGCTATATGATGCTACATGCGAAGTGATTGACAATGGGAAGTTGAGTGATGCCTGTGAATTGAAGACAGGGGACAGTATTGAGACATGATTGCCGCCACCTATTATAATCGATGATCTTCCAGATTGTGGTTGATTGGATTGGATTGGAGTGGACTGGATTAGAGTGGATGATGCAACAGACAATTGTGAGTAGTGAGAGGATGGTCATGTGTTGGCTGGATGGATGGAGAGACACTGGAAGAAGATTTGTAATTCGTTGATGATGATTTATATGTGCTGTCTCGTTGTAGTAAGTGGAAATGGAAGATGTGGAGGTGGAAATCAAGAAGTTGGTAGGAGAGGTGAGGCAAGACGAGGTGAAGTGAGGTGAGGTGAAGTGAGTTCGTTGAGTTGAAGGTAGAGAAGAGAGATGTGAAGAGAATACCGAATCGACAAGAAGAGAAACAACGAGGAGCACGAATGAGTATGTGTGAGTAATGTGGATGAAGTGGAGTGTTTCACGTACCCACCTACCCACCTACCCACCTACCTACGTACCTACCTAGGTAAAGCAGCATCGTTTGAACTAAAGGTGGCAGCGGTTTCCTTCTCAAAACTCGTTATAATGAATATGAGTGATGTAGATCTCCATCAAAGTAGTGATTATTCTGGTAATGAGGACGCTTTACTCAAAAGGCGACTACTTTGACTCAACAGTCTAACGGATACGTCCCTGGTTCCAGTCTTATTAAGCAAAAATATCATTTACTGTTATACATGCACATGCAGCTGGGAAATCCTAAATAGGCCGAAACCTATATTCGGTATTGTATATCTAGCCAGTACTAGGTATATAGGTGTCACGCTCTAATTCCATACATCCTCAGATTGTGATTAGTGATCATATTGCATCACATTCAGTGCATGACTGATGTCATGGCATAGAAGAGAGACAGTCTACCAGAAGGTTAACTGTCTATCGTCAGGTTTTATGAATTTTTCCCACATATCATAATTGAACATGTGGCTATTAAAAATTATAAAAAGGTGAGTATGAAGCCTCTCAGCAGCTGCAGTTCACCGCCCAGTTGGTGCGACCATGGTTTTTCATATTTGAAGGTATCTAGTAACTCTGTTTCTACATAATTATGTTGATATTTAATTAGCATGACATCGAGAAATGTAGATGTCTTTCAACTATTCGTCACTGAACATTCTCCTTCTGCTGAAATATACTACTGAAAAAAGTGAGTAGTTAGAAACCAGTTACACTAGTCTGTAGATTTCGTTAAATAGATGAGAGTAGTTTCATTCCCTTGAAGCCTGGTACACCGTTGAGAAATTTGGCCACAGACAACTGAAAAGCCCATCTGATGATTAGATCGCTTTGATTTGGCCGCCTGGTAGAGTCTACAGACCAGCTAGAGTGGTTTATAACTATTCAATTTGTTCATTAGTGTATTCCGATAGCTGATGGGCCTTTTTTGTCCATGATCACACTGTGATCTCGGCTGGTTGGCTCCCAACAGAAATCCTGCTTACACCCTAGTTGATCAGTTGAAAACTCCTCAGCTGTGTAAAATCTCAACGTGGACTGTGCAACAAGTAAATCATTTGCAAATGATTCGATATGTTCCCTTGTATTGTTGTTTAGAATTTGCACATCGTGATGTATGAACCTACTCACATAGTCTTAATAACATTTTAATTCTCTTTTTAATTCGAAAATATAACTTCCATGCAATGGAGGTAAACTGAAGGTCTTGAATGATCGTTAGTTTTCAGAAACAACACCGGCTATCACCAGGTTTCCTCGATTTTTCAAGTTTTTATTCATCGTAGACTGACATCAGTTGGAGGAACAAAGGAAACCTGGGAGCACTGGACAGCTGTTTTGCCCTAGTATGGGACTCCTCAGCAGTGTGCACCCACGACCTCGCCAGGGATCGAACTCCGCCACCTTCAGGTTCCGTGGCCAGCACGTCATTATTCAGCCACTGGGTCGGAATCCGATGCTCCATATTTCCAACTGATGTCAGTCTACGATAAATAACAACTTGAAATATTTGCAAATCGCCACAACTCCCTCAAAATTCTTCAATTTTTATTCGGTTGTTTTTATTTACAAAGTTGTACTGTCAATCTTCTCTTCGGTTTATCCCGTCTGTTTTTTACAGACTCTATCAGTAACCAACCAAGTTTATTGATTTAAGCCAGTTGGGAAACTGTAGAATCTCTAGTCAGCAAATCATGGAAATCCTTACGAAAAGGGGATGTGTATGTCTTTCAGTCTACTACTTAACAGCATCATTTGTACTATGTTCGTTTCCATCTTTTATAGTTCCTATGTTATAGAAATATTTTAATCTAGATTCTTCTTCAAAAGGGCCATTCATAGTCAATTCTGTTACTCGACGGTATCTAGTATTATGTTGTTTTAAGCGTGCAATAGCATGATTACTATTGATTCCCTATTGCCTAACTGTTCTCCGATGGCTTTCATTAAGCACTAACTTGTTCTACAGTCATGCATTGTGATAACTGTACCATCTATTCACTAAAGCGAACCTTCAAGATTCATCACTTCAGTTGTGCGGACTAGTCATAAAATCCATGATATGTATTAAAAAGGCATACCAGTTACATAGTCTATTCTTCTCATGTACTTGACCTCAGCAAAAAGAAGAAATCTTCAGAGAATTCATCGCCTTTTCTCAAGTTATGTTTAGGTGGACATAGATCAAATGTTTTAACGAACACTTAATACTATAAACGTTCAGGCCACAGCTATTGCAAATTTCCTAAACGAAGTTGAGTGCCGAGTCAGGTTTAATCATTCTATGGGTAAGGTTTAATAAATCTCTGTGTAGTACGTACCCACGGTGCGGCAAGGGGTCGGACTCAGAACCATTAGGTTTCACGGCATTAACCGTTCAGCGGCTGGGTTGAAATGCTGTTGTTCCCAGTTTCCAACTTTTCTCAAGACTATCACCTCAGGTCTTCAGATAGCATCCACTTCCCTTCTGATCGGTTGACCCCACAGGTCACGGCTTCTGGAAGCATGTCACTCATGAACACTAATGTTTTTGAGATGAATGGGGATTTTAACTCCAAGGTAGTGTTTACTACGAAGTGACATCAGTTAAAGAACCAGTGAAAATCTGAGAGCACTGCACAGCTGTTTCGTATTAGTATGCGACTTGTCGGAAATACATACTCATGACCCGGCTACGGATTGAATTCAGGACCTTCAGGTTTCAGTGCAAATGCCTTAACCATTCAGACACTGGGTCAGAGTTCACTGGTTCGCAGTTTCCAGCTTCTGTCCATTCATCAAGACCTGAAGACCTTGGTGATAGTCACGTTACATCCTGAGTCGACAGAAGTTGGAAACTTTGAAACAGTCGATTTCGAACAAGCTGCTGGGTAGTTATTACGGTCTCAATAAAACCTGAAAGGTTTTGAGTTCGATCTCTTGGCGGGTCGTGAATGAGTACTGCCGAGAAGTCCCATACTGGGACGAAACCACTATCGAGTGTTTTTGGGTTTTTAACGGTTTCCTAACTGATATCAACTCGTGATGGATACTACTGCCTCAAAACTGAAATCTCTCTTTGTTAAGGCTGAGATTATATTAAAACTTGGTTATATAATGAACGCCCAGTGTTCTACACAATGGTAAAACCTACAGGCTTTGACAGAATGTTTTGAAATGTTAAGGTGTAATACTAGAATTAATTGTAGTTAAAATATCAAGATGTTATCAATAAAATTAAGGTGATAAGACGAATATTCAAAGAGTAATCGACTATACAAGGTGATAATTAGTCAATGAATCATGGAATACATTCTACAAAATCTCTACTTGTTTTAAAGTACGATGTCTTGTTAAATGGATCACAAAATATCAAAATTTCAGTTTTGTGTTACGGATAAACACTCATGACGAATACTTTCTTATAGAGATTGTTTTTAGGCTTGCCATCGACTGAATTGTGTCCCCATTTGACACTATACTACCTATATATCAATATCTCTATTTGTGATATAAATGAAGAATGTTTTTATTCGGGAATAGGAAACGAAATTAACTCATTCTCCGTCTTAGTTATTTAGATGGAGTATATAAATAACATGAAACTGGTTACTCTCAAGTCACCAACCAATATACTTAATCCATTTCTATGAGAGATCATTCGTTGCTCGGGTTGCTTAGTGGAAACGTTGGTGACTGTTACGAGTGATATACCTTTCGAACGAGTATCAAAAATCATGAAACGTAGATTGATCAGAACTTTCTACTGATTGCCTCCCGGGTTAATGGCCACATTACAAAAGGACTGATACCATTTGGTCATCAATCAAGACTAGACACCATGAAGTTGGATGTCATCCAATGATTAGTCAATGTAGACGGAATGTTTCTTCATCGCCAACATAATTTAAAGTTGATATAGATTTCCATCCAACAATATTGGAGTATATTACAGTAGGCATAGAAAGTGACTACGATTGATAATTACATAAATAGACGGTGAAGAAAATGGTGAATATTGAAAAGGGTCGTTGGTAAACACAAGACTTGGAGTTCATTGTATCGATACCCGTTGTAATCTAGTTTGCTGGCTTGAACCATCTCAAATAGTCTGGTGAGGACAAGATGATAGGATACAGTTTCATGTACTTTCAGGAATGACTTCCCAATTTTTTAAAGATTAATATTCCACTACCACATTACATTTTTTCTTTAATCATATAGCTAAGTTGTCAAGCAGTTTTCACAGTGAATCCAACAGAACTGAATAATCAATTACCTAAACTTGTATGGTATTATCGACAACCGGAGATTCCAGGTGACGTACCTATTCCATCTCAATTACTACCAATCAGTCCACCACGTATGGAAACATTATCAATTCTACCACAAATAGATCATAAAATCTCTATTTCATCTGATGCTTATACATTCAGGGATGATAATGCAGAATTCCAGTGTCAAGCATTTATGGAAGATGAGGAACCAGTAGCCAAAGAGGTGATTTTCATACAGAGTAAGTATTATTTCTGTATATAATTCAAAATAGCTTGCACCAGTGAGCACCCATAACTCCAACCAAAAACCAAGCTCAATACTGACAGTTCTTGTGTTGAGCACGTTATCTTTCAGTTACTCGGTCAGAAGTCAATGGTTCACATTTTCTGACTTGTATAAATTCTTATTAGTTATCAGTTTTGTTATCTAAATCAGAAGCCTAACAATTCATTACTTAAACTACTCTTCTACAGCTTCAAAGATATAGTTGAAAGTTATCTGTTCTTTCAAAGGTTGCTTACTGTGAAATGACTTTAATATATTCCACTTTCACTCACAAGTAAACCGCATTAAGTAACGTTTTTAGAATCGATTCGCACAATGTGTGGTACCTTATTGAGTTCTACATTGTTTTAATCAGCGGTAAAGTTAATGGACTGCTTATATACAATTGTTTGACTTAGTAATGCTTTCTGAAGGCAAAGAATGAACACTAATTTAAATAAATGAACAACTGAGCAGGTGATTGTCCTTCTTGACCGCATTGAAATCTTTCAAATTTTGGAACCCAATCTGGTAGGCCTACTAGATTAAACGAGTGGTTTCAAATAACAACTTAACAACTCCTTAGATGGCCGATTACGGCGAAACTTGATTGACTAGTTCAGTAGTTGTTACATTATCGTTTAAAGAGAAACTGCTTGCCATTTTATAAGAACTGGGAATTGGATTTGCTGAACACATATACAACCAGAAGCTGATAAGTTCAAAGGGGTTTACCGGACCCTCTTAATCGTATACTGTTGTTCAAAATGTATGTTCATCTTTGGAATAAGAACAAACGATAGTCTAGTACACACTCGCAAGTGAAGCAGAACAAGCTGCAGCTATGAGAGACCTGACAACATTATATCAAATAACCAGATTACTATCTGGGAGGGAGGAGATCAACAAAAATGAAACCAATAAAAGGTAGTGAAGGAAACTTAGTTACAAAAGAGAGGGGTGAGACAAAGGAAACGGTGTGCTGACCACTTCAAAAAACACTTCCATCGATTAACACTACCACCTGTAACACGTACAGAAGTATCACGAGCAACCACAGCCACAGAACTATCAGTTAACAGAAACCTTCCGAAAAAAGACGAAGCTCTGAACGTCATAAAGTTGTTGAAATTAGAAAAGCAGCAGGACAACATACAATCTCTCCAAAAGCACTGAAAACAGAAACAGAAGCGACGCCACAAATGCTCACAACACTATTACAGAAGATTTGTTTGGGAGGAAGGAAAGATACCTGCCAACTGAAAGAAGGGCTACGTTGTCAAACACTCAAAGAAGCAAGACATAAGCCTCTGCAAGGGCTAGCACGAAAGCATTCTACTGTCCACAACAAACAAAATATTAAACAGCATCATCCTGGAGAGACTGAAAAATGATGCACTACTTTGGAAGTTACGACACCAACAGGCTGGCTGAATTCAGGAAGTACAAATCATGTGCACATCAAGTTGAAATGCTACGCCACACATCATGATAGAACACAGCACAGAATCACATTCAACTGGATATCTACCTCAACTTGATCCACTCAGAAAACGCCTTCGATCGAGCCGTCGACAGAGAAGTGATTTGGCAGGCAGCTGCTTCAACACCACGATTTCAATGATACAAACCACTATCAACCTGATTGAACACCAACTATCTGATTGCTATATAATGCTGCATGCGAAGTGATTGACAATGGGAAGTTGAGTGATGCCTGTGAATTGAAGACAGTGGACGGCATTGAGACATGGTTGCTGCCACCTACTATAATCGATGATCTTCCTGATTGTGGTTGATTGGAGTGGAGTGGACTGGACTGGAGTTTAGTGTAGTGTAGTGTAGTGTAGTGTAGTGAAGTGTAGTGTAGTGTAGTGTAGTGTAGTGGACAAGAGTGGACTGGAATGGACTGGAGTGGAGTGCGGTGTAGTGTAGTGGAGTGGAGTGGAGTGGAGTGAAGTGGAGTGGAGTGGATGATGCAACAGGCAATTGTGAGTAGTGAGAAGATGGTTATGTGTTGGCTGGATGGATGGAGAGACACTGGAGGAAGATTTGTAATTGGTTGATGATGATTTATATGTGCTGTCTCGTTGTAGGAAGTGGAAGTGGAAGATGTGGAGGTGGAAATCAAGAAGTTGGTAGGAGAGGTGAGACAGTGAAGGAAGACATGAGTTCGTTGAGTTGAAGGTAGAGAAGAGAGATGTGAAGAGAATACCGAATCGACAAGAAGGGAGACAATGAGGAGCACGAATGAGTATGAGTGTGAGAAATGTGGATGAATTGGAGTGTTCCACGTACCCACCTGCTTACCTACCTACCTATGTAAAGCAGCATCGTTTGAACTAAAGGTGATGGTGGCGACGGAATGGATGAGGATGTCAAAGCAGCAGTGACAGGCCTTCCTTCATTATTATGAAATAATCAGTGTGGAGATCCACTTCACTGAACTGCACTCAGTATTAAGCGTGAACAACATCCGGATTTCCAACACTTATTCAGTCGAGTAAGTCAGTGATTCCATGTGATTGTTGATAGATTTGGTGTGTTACGAAAATCATTTCCAACAAATTGCAAATATTCATGAACAGCTGCATACACTAGATAGTGAATATCGATGAGATGGTGAGAGTGATGAGAAGAAGGAAGTGTGGTTGGCCCCACAATGAACCAACGAATAAGCAGTTGCCCAATAAATATGTAGTGGAAAGTTGAGATGGATTGTATTGTGCATAGAGTGAGCAGACGGTTTGGTGACATCACGCGCTAGGCCATCTGATGCCGTCGATTGGAACCCAAATGTGAGGCGATGATTTGTGCATCTGAGGATGACGTGTAATAGATGGTGTGAGGAGGAAATGTTAGATTGTGTTGAGTGATGGAGCCAGGTTGAAAAGAGTGGAGGGGAGAGATTGAAATGGTGATGTGTTACTGAATCTGTATATTCTACTAGGAAGCCATGGGAGAAATAATAATAAAATGTAAAAAATATTCTACTGACTAATCGCACTAAGAGTTGTTCAGAAGTTGTTATACGTCATCTTGATAGGCGCAGTGACTCAACTACTAGTTTTTCCTACTTAGCAAATACTCACGAGTATGAGACAGAGAGAAATTCAATGTGGCTACCAGATATGTATCGTACATTTTACGGATCGTGCCAATATACCTGAATGTATACTCTATTTGACTGGTGGATTGTTAACGAGCAACGTAACTTAAAGAGATAATACGAGAAAGTATATGAATACTTGATCATTTACCTTAAACTTAACAAATACATTAAAACTATGAAGGTCAGTACTATTATTTAACATTGCCTAATCTTAAGCTTTATAGCCTACACAAGTGAAACGACGTTTCTTCCAAAAAACACCACCTCGACGCTCTTCTGAATAGTAGACCAATGAGTCAGTAGGGATTGATGCTCTAACACATCCATCAATGACTCTTATTCTTTTATATTGTTCAATTTTCACCAGATTTACTATACTTCAATTCATGAAACATTTGTTAAGGTTTTCAGTCACAAATTAATTGAGTAATAAGTCGTAAATTTTAAATATTATCGAAAGTAGAACAACCGTAAAATAATTTTTCATTTTCTTCAATGTAACAACAAAAATATGATAATATTATGGCTTGTATTGTTTGTTTAAATTTCACTCTGTTCTTTTATATTCATTTGTATGTACATGTATTGAATATGATGAAAAATACTTTAAAGAATACATAACAAAAGAATGAGGCTAATGTGTTATTTTATCATAACATCTGGTGTATTTTTGTTATACACATATGTGATCATAATATAAACATGTTTATTATTCTAACATATGGAAATCTTTTTATACACAAATGTCATTTAAACAATGAATTACTCATTGAGATATAAGAGAAAGCAATAACAGTATACAATATCAAATTAAAAGTGCTTTGATAGCGTTTACTTCATTACACATATTCATTTTGAAGGCTGATGAGTATTCAATCGTTTCATTGGCTAACTACCAGTTGAAGTAGTATAATGGTTTTCACATGCTACCGTCGTTGATTGGACCGAATTGATAGGTCTATATTGGCATATGGGCTCCTGTGCGGATGCCTCGATATTGCCTGTCTTTAAACTATGTATAGTAATGATGGGCAGTTGCTAGCAGTGGAATCCAACAATAACACTAAACCTATACCCATCGCACAAGAAGTGGGTATCGTGGCTCGGTGGTGTAGTGGATAACGCTGTTGCGTTTGAAACGATCCCTTCCGAGTCCGAATCCCGGTGGGAACAACATCACTCCCTGGGAAGCAGATACGTCCAGCTGATGAGTCCCAAATAGGACGAAATGCGCTTCCTGGACTCCACTGCTAGCCACGATCCATCATTTACATACCAGTTGAATTGTCGTTGAAAGTAGTAGGAGAGTATAGACCATTGAATTCCAACATAGTGACTCAATGGTAGCTTGTCTACAAAGAAGCCTAAGTGCCTTGCGTTCACTTTTTGCCAGGGTCGTAGGTATGCGCAGCTGAGAAGTCTGATGCTTTTTCAGTACTCCTAGCATACTAAAATGCACGCATCACTTGACGCTAATGCAAACGGTTGATATTATTTTGGAAATTACATTATGAGTGTTTATAATCCAGCAATTCCAATCTTTACTATATACACCCCCTAAAACTGTCGATTGTATCCAAAGCATACCAGTCGTAGGAGAAAATTCTCTTGCAGTGAGTGAACAGATGAGAATTGTAAGAAAAGCAAGTTCATCCACTATACTACTCATAGGTGTAATGAACATCTCTGACAAATTTACAATTTCAGGTCAATAATGGTTTCTCGAAAAAACTGAAATATGTGCTAACTGTGATGTTTACTGTTTAAAAAACTACTTAATCTGAGATGAGATATTGCTAAAAAATAAATATGCTCATTGTATGATCATTTATTCTGGCGCGGAATAATGCTCCACCCTGTCCCACCCAAAGCAAAATATTAAGCTCCATCATCCTGGAGAGACTGAAAAATGATACACTACTTTGGAAATTACGACAGGAACAGGCTGGCTGAATTCAAGGAGTACAAATCATGTGCACATCAAATTGAAATGCTACGCCACACATCATGATAGAACACAGCACAGAATCACACTCAACTGGATATCTACCTCAACTTGATCCACTCAGAAAACGCCTTCGATCGAGCCGTCGACAGAGAAGTGATTTGGCAGGCAGCTGCTTCAACACCACGGTTTCAGTGACACAAACCACTATCAACCTGATTGAACACCAACTATCTGATTGCCATATGATGCCACATGCGAAGTGATTGACAATGGGAAGTTGAGTGATGCCTGTGAAGTGGAGACAGTGGACGGCATAGAGACATGGTTGCCGTCACCTACTATAATCGATGATCTTCCAGATTGTGGTTGATTGGAGTGGATTGGATTGCAGTGTAGTTGAGTGTAGTGTAGTGTAGTGTAGTGTATTGGAGTGGACAAGAGTGGACTGGAATGGACTGGAGTGGAGTGCGGTGTAGTGGAGTGGATGATGCAACATACAATTGTGAGGAGTGATAAGGTGGTCATGTGTTGGCTGGATGGATGGAGAGACATTGGAAGAAGATTTGTAATTCATTGGTGGTGAGTTATGTGTACTGTCTCGTTGTGCGAAGTGGAAGTGGAAGATGTGGAGGTGGAAATCAAGAAGTTGGTAGGAGAGGTGAGACAGTGAGGGAAGACATGAGTTTGTTGAGTTGAAGGTAGAGAAGAGAGATGTGAAGAGAATACCGAATCGACAAGAAGAGAAACAACGAGAAGCACGAATGAGTATGAGTGTGAGAAATGTGGATGAAGTGGAGTGTTCCACGTACCCACCTGCCTACCTACCTACCTAGGCAAAGCAGCATCTTTTGAACTAAAGGTGATGGTGGTGACGGGACAGATGAGGCTGTGAAAGCGGTGAGGATTGGGAAGACAGCAAGACAGGCCTTCCTTCATTAATCTGCAATAATATGATAATAATGATAATGATGATATGAAATAATATGAACAGTTAGAAATTTCATGAACTGGTGCGAAGTCTCAGTTTGATTATCGTATATCTTCACCTAAGCCCTACTTCTTTGGTTAAGGTAGCACTCTGAGTTAGGCAGTGGTTCAGATGAGCGAAACCTGTAAAAGTCGCTGTAGTCAGTCAAGGTTCATGACCTCAGCCACTGACTTCAGTTATTTGCCTAGTAGCGTTCACCTTACCTCGAAAGTGATGAGAAATAGTTAGGGTGGACTTTTAATTTTGATTACTGAGCAGATTCCACTGAAGAATATTCCTATTGTAGCTTTGAACCTACTAAATAGGGCTAAAAATATTGTGACGGATAAGGAAGAAAACGAAATTTCTAAAATAAAACAAGTATCGAAAGAGAATGACTATCCAAGACATTTTCTGAACAATATTATTAAGAAGAATGACAAGAAAGAAACAGACAAGAGAAGTGAGGGAGATGAGAAATCATGCACATCAACAATGACAATTCCATAGAGGAAGGGTACTTCAGAAGAAATGCAAAGAGTTTGTGCAAAGTATGGTATTAACGTATATATTTTAAGCCTTTAAAGTCTTTGAAAAAAACATTAGTCAAAGTGAATGATGTGATTCCAAAGATGACATAAAACAACTGTGTGTATATTATATAAAATATGCAGAATATGAAGCCAATTATATTGGTGAAAGTTGTGTAGGCAGCTGAAAGTTAAAGTAAATGAACATAGATTATACAGTGGAAGTGAAAAATTTGGAAAAGAGGTCGGCAATAACAATGCACGTCATTGAAAGTGGGCACATAATCGATTTTGACAATATTGACATACTAGAGAAGGATTTCCTTACATATAAACAGAGATTGACATCAGAAGCCGTACATATTCTAACATCAACAGATGCTTTAAACAGAAAGGAAGGTGTATTGACTTGTCACCTATATGGCAGACTGTAATTAGACAAAAACTTTTAAAAAAAGGTTACCATTTAAATTTGCACTCTGAAAAAACCAAAAACAATATACATCAATTATTGTGGATATACAAACATGTTTTTCATTTTTTATATGATAAATAACGAATGACATTCTCCATAAAAAGTTAACACACATACACATGCACTTTGATTATTGAATCGTTGTTCGATGATAGATGACAAAGAATGTATGAATTTTTGAGATGAGTGGAGATTTTTAATTTAGAAGCTGTGACCTATAGGGTCAACCAGTTGGAAGTGAACTGGATGCTAACTGAAGACCTTGAGTGATAGTCACGCTGTTGTGAATTAACAGAAGTTGGAAATTGTGAACCACTGGAAATTGACCCAATGGCTGAATAGTTAACTCGTTCGTCATGAAACCTGAAGGTCCTGGATTTGATCCCTAGCCGGGTCGTGGGTGCGTACTGCTGAGGAGTCCCATACTAGGACGAAACAGCTGTCCATTGCTCCCAGATTTCAATGGTTCCCAAACTAATGTCAGTCCATGATGAATACTACTTCTAAAGACTGTATGAATTTATGATGACTAACTGGAAACAATCAGTTTGAACATAAAGACAGAAATTTCTACATGTACCTTTTGACAGTATATATTTTGATGTTAAATAAAAATCTGAATATTCTACTGAAGAAGCTGTGGCATACACAGCGAAACGTTCAGAAAAATCTTATTTTCGATTTTCTAAACACGCTAGTATTATATAAAAACTTACCTATATAATGAATCGACCTGACTCGGCGCTCAACTTCTTTCAGGACATTCGTAAAAACTATGGCGTGGATGTTATAATTCTTATTGTATCACTAAAGTATTCATCTAATTGTCTTCAGAAATAAATCATAATAAATGTGTAATATTATTGAATTAAATCTTTTACAAAACTACACTGTATTAAGCTTATCAAAGTCATATAATTTTTCAGAGGTTCGTGAAATATTCGATTAGAATATTCGATGAAGAGTCTCGGTTTCCAATGTCCCTCCAACTTATGTCAGACCATGATGAATACCAATTTGAAAAATCACTAAATCCCATCAAGCTTCCAAATTAAATTGAAATCTTTTACTCTGACAGTTTGTAATGATATAGTAGTCTTGAAGACAGACATGTTTATGATACACTGAAAATCAAGCCGTAGTAGACTTTGTTACTCAAAGAAAAGTTAACGACGTACTACTGAAAGAAAATCAACAGAACTGCGCTTAGCAAGAATTATTTGTGTCTATTTTACTACGGCATACGTAGGGAAGACAGCCAGGCAGGTAAATGTAAGGGTGTGGGAGCATAGACTATGTGTGAAGTAGATTCTAAAACTTTCAGCAGAGGCTAGAAAGCTAGTCGGCATTTGCGTCACACACCAAAGAGACGGGTCATAAGGTTTTGATTTTGATGGAATCGAGGTTCTACAATAAAGTTTTGAATCAGACCAAGAAAGATATACAGCCGAAGTCCTACATATATGGGCGAATGCGGATAGTTTAAATAGATGAGATGGAGTACAGTTAGTCGCCTTTTGACGATTACTAATTAGTGAGGAAAAGGAGTAACTCGACCGTTTACCTCTGACACCAGTCTCAATTGCGTTATCTTTATATAGACAACAACAACACACAATCTGGATTTATTTAATCCCTTACTGTTATTATCGTCATTACCATCACTACTACTATACATTTCCACCCCGTTCTGATCTTTTTGTCTCGTATTTAAAATGAAGGAGAATGTGAATAATGAGATACCCTTATACACATATCATACAACAAGAAAAGTACAATTCCACACTGAGTGTTTAATAATCATATTTTAGGGAAAAAATCGGTGTACGAATGAAGATTGGACGAGGAGATTAAGTACACCACATCTTTGAATTCATTTATATGTGAAGTTGTTATTCATCGTAGAGTGACATCAGTTGAACAACTTGAAATATTTCCAAATCCCCACAACTCCCTTAAAATTCATTCATATGTATTTGGTATTTTGATTCCGATTATTTCCCTGAAGAAGCTCGAACCAGACTTCTGTACAAAACGCTGAGGATTATTTATTTCAAACATATGCTGACTTACACATATATAAACCATATCTAAAGTGGTGGATGATTAGTGTATTGTAGGAGTAGGGCAAAAGTTAAATAAAGTCACAGTGTAATATAAAACTTATTCAGTCTAATCGTTAGGTCGACTTGGTCTGTACACCAAACTCAAGGTATTCAATACTCATCTTAACAATTTCCTTTCAGTGAAATTATTTAGTATATCGGAAAAGCTATCATGTTTGTCTGTTAGCCTTAAATAATGAGTTCACTGACTGGCCAAAATCACATTCTGTATTCTTTATTCTCTTCATATTCTATCGATAAAACACTTTTCTGCATTTTTTCAGATCAGCCAAAAATCAAATCAATACGTATTGATCGTGTAAAACCAGATGAAGGTGTTTTAGAACCAATCGATATGCCAAAAGATTCATATGATGCTACACAAGATTATGAGCTTGGCTGTAAACCGGAAGTGACTTCAGGTGAAGCTGTAGCTACATGGTTAAAGGTAAGTAAAATAATGAGAAATCACATACGATGTAAATTATCTCTACAGTGATAAAGTTGGATAGAGGAAAATTCAGGCTGGTATAACTCGACAGTAATCCTTCTCCTCCTTAAACAAAAACAGTAGAGATGGGATCTCCGATATTCCCAATCGTAGCAGATACATTTATGGATAGTCGGGAACGACTATCATTAAGAACATTTCAACCCACCCCCAAAATATGGTGACGATATGTAGATGACACATTTACACTGTGTTGAAATCAGAACACCCAGAGTGTTTTTCGCACACACATTAACTCGATAGTAGATGATCCAATTCACTTATGAATTACAAAATGAAGAAGGAAAATACCACCTATACTGGATTGAAAAATGAAGAGGAGAGAAGGTGAAAGTTTAGATACCAGCGTTCATAGGAGATCAACATACATTAGAATAGATCCTTGGATTTCGCATCATCTCACCCAATATCTATAAAGGTAGGGTTAATAAATTGTCTTTCTAAGTGATCGGGCTAGGAGTTTGACTAATAGGTCAAGAAGCCTAAATACGGAAAGAAAATACATCAAAAAGACACTAATTCTTAATAACTATTCTCCGAAATGTATAAATAGGTTTATATCGATTAATAAGACAAAGGGTGACCATATTAGTGGTGACTGCAACATGCCTAAGAGGGAATTCAGATCCTCTGTAGTGTTGCCGTCGCAGAATTCTTCACAGTGGTCGGATTAGGGCAGCATGATAAACCCACAATCTTGCTCACAGAGTAATGTTTTAGGTTAAAAGATCCATAGAGTCAATTAAGAGGTCAAGTATTCAGGTCAAAGCGGTTGATCTGGGTCTATTAGAATAGGAGAACATATAATGGTAAACTCTACTAAGATAAGTAATTCAAAGAAAAACTCGGCTATTGCTCTGTATGCACTGAACCATAACCACAACATAGGCTAGGTAAGATAGGGGGACAATTCTAAAATCCAATCGACATAGCTAGGTAAAGGGAGAGATTGATCACAGAATGTTTGTTCACTGAATTTACACCTAGCACATTTAACAGAAATGATTCACCACATATTGGCAATACATAGAAAATTTTATTACCATTAAAATAAATGGATGAATCCTTGGATCACATAAAAGAAGTTTGAAAGTCATATGATTACTCTGAAATGAATATGATTGGTAGATTTCGCTCGAAACGTCATCCAGTAGATTATACTGTGTCACTGTCTATGAGGGAATTGTACTGTACCGCGGTGCCCAAGTTATTCCTTTACATTCTAGGGAACTACTATATTTCTTCTTCATGAATTTGAAAATTTATGTGGTTAAGCATCACCGATGAAAATAACTTGAAGAACTACTAAAACATAGTGAACGATGAAAAGCTGTTTACTTCTGATCATAGACTTTTCATTGAGGGGATCTAAAACAAGACAGTCAGTTGCCATTTTAACTACCTTAGTATTCATATACTGGGGCAAAGGCAAGTGATTTACGTTTTCTAGCTTGTGACAAGTCTTGATATAGTACAAACATCGTTCAGCACCGTTGGCAAGTATTCTTACACATATCTCACATGATTCGCACCATAGATCACTACTTCAGGAAGTCTATCTCGAAATAAGTCATTAGTCAGCATTAGTTTGTTATTCATTTTGTAGGTTTATAGAAATTGACCTATATTTTGGTGGCGTATACCATGAACTGATGTCTTCTCTGTCTTATTTGATACTGGTAATTCAATAAGGTTATTAGCTATTATTATTATTTGTCCCTTGGGTTCCTAGTGGAACATAGGGCTTCACTAGCACGTCTCCATTCCGCTCTCTTCTCTGCAGTCTTTTGAACCTGGCGCCACGACTGCCCACAACCTCTCATTTCCTCCTCACATGATCTCCTCCATGTCACCGTCGCCTCGGACGCCCAACTCGTCGCTTCCCATTTGAGTTCCACTCGAGGGACTGGCCTGGCTCATGATGTCCCCAATCGGCCTCCTCAGTGTATGCCCAATCCATCTCCACTTTCTTCCTCTGCATATTTGTTGAGTAATAGGTTCTCGCTCGTTGGTTCGTTGCCACACACAGTGAGTTCCTTGTCGCTTATTCCTATCATTCTGGCCATCTGATCTTCAACGTCAGTATAGAGCGTAGGCAGTTGTTGACGAATGTCTGTAGTTTGTTGGAAATGCCTTTCGTAACGTGCCAAGTTTCTGAACCATATAGAAACACTGACTTGACCTTGGTGTTGAAAATCCGGATCATGTTGTTTATACTGAGTGTAGAAGATCTCCACAATGGTTTCAGACCAATGAACGCCTGTCTTGCTTTTCTGATCCTGGTTGGCTTTGACATCTTCATCTGTACCGCCTGTAGTTGAAACAGTGCTGCCTAGTCAGGTAGGTGAAAGAGAATTACTTCCTTTAAGTTTCTCCCACTGATGGTGATTGTAGCTTGTTGCTGTTTGGTGGTGTGTTGGTTGGGTATCTTCATCACCTCTGTCTTGTCTTAGATTCACCTGAATTCCCGTCTTCTCTACCTCTTCTATCAACTTGTTAGTTTTGATTCAACTGGGTTGCAGTCTCATTTCATCATTAATTACTATTCATGATACAAATTACTTTTGTTTTTTGCTCTCTTAAGCTTTCACTGTTGTTTAAAATGATGTCACTAGCAACAATTTGAGAATGAAGCGAGGATTTCTCAAAGTCAACTGTGCTCTCCTGACTGTTTTCTATGTTATCTTCGTTTTTTTCCCAAATGGCCATTAACTGAAGATGGCTTGACATTCGACTGTGTCTAAGTTTTTGAGTTATTTCATGGATTAGGTGCTTTTTAAAATGTACCAGTAGTTCACTGATTGATATGATTTAAAGACCTTCAGAGGTTTCCTAGGAGTTATCTTAGTTATCCCCTTAGAAGGTTTTTACCTTTTTCCTCAGGAATTTGCATTTCCAGTTGTTCAAATGATTACATATTCAATTCGATAGATTTAATAGCGAAAACAGTGACTACTTAAGTCAGTGTAACATCTTTCACAGTTGGTTTTATGTCGTCAAAGTCATCTATTTAGTCGTCACTAAATTATTGATCTGTATAATGTTCTGCGTTAGCGAATCTCTCAGCCTGTTGACGACACTACAAAATAATCGATAGAACTCGGTCATCACTTAGGAGTGGACAACATGAAGTTGGTTACTCTTTAGTAACCAATCAGTGTACCTCATCCAGTCCTACAGGAAGTCAGTTGCAACCCGAATAGCTTAGTGGTAACGTCTCTAACAGAAGGAATGGGTTACGTGGATTCAAATCTCAGCAAAACATGAGTTTTCTGGAGGTGGCAGACACGCCATGCTGAGAAGTACCCAAAAGCACGAAACCTAGGCTTGGAAAGGCTTTCTACAGATAATCTTAATTCAACTGACATCGTATGCACCTAAACGTTTGGTTTCAATATTGTTAAAATTTTAGCATCTATTCAATGCAGCTAAACGTCGTTAATTTGTTAAATAAAGATGATCTCATTAGGTTCCATTTTTTCCGTTTTGATGGTCTTTCTTTTCTTGTCAGAGGACATACTTGTCATAATAACTTCAAGCCTTGACAGCAAAAAGTCAAGTCACAAGGACTTTCAGTTAAAATTCTGTACTCAACTGAGTGATACTGTGTCGTCTATTCAATTCCAGTCATAAAGCTTAAGTAAAAAGTTTAGATAGTGAACTCATTACCATGTGGTATTAGTCGGTAGCAGTATTGGTTACCCAGTTATCCTGTCTACAATTAATCGATTTTTAGGTCCATATCTTGCTTTATATTAAGGACAGGTTGGCAGGTTAATAAAATGGGACTGAAAGAGATTGTTTATCAAACTCTAAATATACTCAATAAAATCAATTGAGTTCATGGCATAATTCCCCCTTAGCAACAAATAACTAGCCCTTTCAAAAACAAGATATTCAGCGAAGAGGACTTTTTTCAACAAATTTATTCTCAAACTGTACATTTCGTATATACATATGATATTTAAAGACTGTAATCCGTGAGGAAGATTTAACTGAAATAATGGGGGGTCGAAGCAATAATAGTGATGGTGGTGATAATTATGATGTTGATAGTTGATGACGTAAAGATCGAATGGTAGCAAAAGGGGGTCACGTAAGACTTTCAAATTGTTTATAAAGTGAATACAGATTAAAAGGGGTGAGAACGTTAATAAGCAATTAAAGGATTAGGTAATATAAATGAGACAGGTTAATTGGAGTGAATTGGAAATGTTTTGTTAAAAGTTGCGATTATTAGGAAGATCAAATGAAATAACACCGGAAACAAATAAATACAAAAAACAGTGATAATGACGATATAAGAGTACAAAGATTAATCTAACAAAAAGAGGGAAGGGGGTGAACAACAAAAAAAGAGAACGAAACGCACCAAGACTAAAATAAATTAAGGCCAAGGTAGAGACAAAGACTGGACGTACTTCTCTTGTACACAAAGGTCAGGCTTCAATTCATGGATAGCCAAGGCGTCTGCTGTTTTTAGAAGCTGAACATGAAAGAAACGTAAAGTGTTAGGGCGAATTCGATAGACAACCTTGAAATCCTTGTTTGGGTCGGCTGAATAGTTGAAATCGATTAAATACTCAAGGATAGAACTTCTGATGCATTTCCTTTGACCCTTATGTTCTCGTGTACGTGTTGACAGCAATCTGTGACTACGGCCGATATATTTTGCTCCACAGAAGCAGGTGAACTGGTAGATACACTAGTCCTTTTACCAAAGAAATTAATTAGTATATCATGCACTAATTACGTTGGATGCATAATGGTAAATATTCGAAAAATACAGTCAGTCTCATGTATAAAAAAAATATGCGAAACCTGAAGAAATCACGTAATTCTGTCATTTTTGACTATAGTTATGTTTTCACCTGAAAAACTACTTGATTTTAGTTACGTCAAATATATGTTAGTAATGATGATTAGTGAATAAAATTATTAAGTTTTCTTCCATTCGCTCTTTTGATGAATTTATCATATTTCACTGACATCATTCAGAGAATCGTTAGAAACTTAGGTAGAGTGGACATTTATTTCGGTCTGGCTAGGAACTCTACAACAGTACTCCCCCATATCCTCACACAGCATTGAACCTGCAGCTATTACGACTCCCAGCAAACACATTACCATTCAGCCACTGATTTAAAATCCAGTGACTCACATTTCCCGAATTCTGCTCATTCTTAATACCATATGACCATCATCTAAGGGTATCAGTGAGTATTTAACCACATACGTGATGTACTTGACCTTAGAAATCATGTCTGTCCGTCAGGATTTCAAGAAGTTCGTTTCTGCGCAGGTCACTAACCAGGATCGAATTTCTATTTATCCGCTGGTACACTATCAGTCGACAAGCAGATATGATACCACATACTTGAGATGGTCGCATGATCCAATACTCCAAATTTTGATGCATGTTTGATTAGAAGAATAGTGGAAGGAGATATAGTGAAGCAGTGTTTATTTAGTAGTCATAAATTACTACAACCTTACAATGATTATCTTTTATATAAGGATTATTCACGAACTTCTTCCAGTTTCGCCTTACTTTATCACCTTTATTTCGTTATCGCAGAAACTGTAACGAATCGATCAACTGTCGTCAAAATTATCACTTTTGTACTACTTAAATACCTTCTTGTCAGTAGCATACACACTGGATGTCCTTCAGCCTATATACCTCTTATTACTTTCAAAATGTTATTTAAGATGATTGTGCGTGATGAATAAAAGATCCTGGAACTATTTTTCAAATTTATTGATAAATTATCACCCTCTTGGAAATTAACACTCTCTCAATGGTTTAAATTCTCACCAACCATTTCTAAACCCAGAGACAGTATCATTTGATTGACTAGTCAACAAATCGCTTAACATATGATGAAATTTTTCCTTTAAATGACAAACCAGCGTTGATGAAATCCTTGTGATTGTTATATCAAAACAAAAATCTGTAGTTGAAATGTTTATCTTTTATTGATAAATATATCCATCTTCTGTATACTGAATGAAATTATTTATTACATTTTTAGTGTGCAGATGATGAATGTACTTCAGCTAAAGAAATTGTACTAACTGGAGATAGATTATTTTTCTTCGCCAATTCAACAAGATATATAGATGAAGGACGATTCCGTTGTCAAGTTACTTTACAACTCAAAGAATACAACTTCAAGCTTACTGAACATCAAGATGTTATAATAAAGCGCCAAGGTATGATAAAACGTCCAACCCAATAGTATATAGCCTAATATACAATATATTTTTATAATTGGGTTGAAGTGATGATTAGAGTTTTGATACGATTGGAACTAGTCACCTGTGGATTACTGATCCTGCTATCCATCAACCAATTTGAAAGATTCAGTCTCTAACTAGTTCTAAACTTGACTTCAATCACCAAAGACATAGTCCAGGTGTTATGTAATTGTGTGATGTACGGCTGTCTGTTTGTCGTAATCACACAAATTTTCAGTCAGGACCTCTCATCCAAGTCTAAATCGAGTTAGATTAGGGAGGTGATATGTCGTATTACTTGCTATTATTGTATAAAATGTTTTCAGAGTATTCAACACCGGTGTTCATTGTCAACTGGATAATTATTCTAATAATTCCAAGTCTGAAATGAATTTTTAGTTTTCCTCTCTATCCAGTTAATGGAAAAGATGTATGTATGTATGTGAGATTTTTTGGATCAGACACTTAGCACTAAAGAAATGGATGTCGGATTCAACTACTGTCCCATATAATTTATCTGAGAAGCTGCGTAATATTGGACTTTGTCAGACACAAACTTGTAGAGGGTTATGTAGACTAGTACCTTGAAAAGTGTGCTTCTTTTCATGTGTATTTGTTTTCATGCAACTACGGTATGTCATTTATTATAACCTAAATTTCACCTTATATGTGCATCATGATAAATACATGCCCAGTTAACAAATGTGACATAGAGATTTGAAAATTCTATGCTATGGATTACAGTAAGGACCTTCAATTTCTGATATGCATTTAGCATATTCTAGATTCGAATGATTAGTAAATTATATTAATGATAGATAGTGATTAGCAGTGATATTAAGGATACGCGTATTTCGTCGCAATTAAGACTTGTCAGCTAGATGCGTCTGCCGCCGGAACCAACAGCCCTCAATGCCACATGATTGTCAGGTAGGTCAATTGGTTACTACAGCTACCCCTTGTGTGACACGTATAGTATAGTTTAGATATTATTGTCTGTAACAACGTCACTCATAAGAATGCAGGCGTAAAAAGTAAAAGAGTCACAAATTAGATGAAGCATGTGTCTTAGTTTCCACTCCTAGTCACTATCCACCATCATTATCAAATTGAAAGTACTAGTAATATCCCAGTATCCGCAATGGAGCCCTTGTACCATTGGGTTATGAGTGCAACATACGGCTTCAGTAACACGTCGCCATTTCACTCTCTTCTCTACAATCTCTTCAACCTGGATCCACAAATGCCCGCAAGCCTCCATTTCTTCCTCATACCGTCTAATCCATATCATCCTCGGACGCCAAACTAGCCGTTTCCCACTCACCTTCCCCCCTCGACGACTTGGCCTGGCATGATATCCCCAAACGTCTTCTCACTGTATATCCAATACAATCGATCTCCACTCTCTTCTCAGCATATTTGTTGACCGATAGGTTCTTAGTTGGTTCGTTGACAGGCCACGGCTCTCTGTTGCTTATTCTTATTATTCTAGTCATCTGATCTTCAGTGTCAGAATCGAGTGAGCGTAGGCGGCAGCTGTTCATGTGATGTATGTCTGCAGTTTGTTGGAAATGCTTTCGTAACACGCCTAGTCTCTCAATCATCTCATAGAAGCACTGACCTGCTTGACATTAGTTTTGAAAATCCGGGTGTTGTTCACGCTTTATGCTGAGTGCAGTGCAGTGCAGTAGATCTCCACACTGATTATTCACGATGGAGACTGTCCTGCTCTCTTTTAAATTTCTCCCACTGATGGTGATCAGTGTTAGTTGAGCATCCTCATCACATCTGTCTTGGTTGTTGGTTGGTTGAAGGGAACCGGCAAGAAGCTCTGCTGCACATGGATTTTGTTCCCGACGGTAGTCATCAGAAAGACGTCTCTGCAACCTGAAGAAATTCAAATCCGTCACCCAGTTCCACAGTCATAGACATACATATATTTAAACTAATTTGGTTCTGCGGTTTTCATATACGCCTTATTATGAGTCCAAGCAAACATGAAAGTTCAATCAAGCAGCATTTTGGTTGATTGCCTCTAGCCAACCTAAATCCGTCAGAGTGTCCGCGATCGTCGGTATCTCACTTTGTGATCATATTACAAATTAATCGATGAAATGTAGATAGGACTTAGGAGTATATAGAAAACATAAAATTAATTTTTCTGCATTTCACAATCAAAGTATTTCTTCAGTTTTTTAGTCTCTTAAACTTTAAAAAAAATTGGTGCGGAATCATGCTCTTGTCACACCAAGCAAAATATTACACCGCATCATTCTGGAGAGACTAAAGAATGTTCTGTATCCAAAGTTACGACCAGAACAGGCCGGCTTCAGGAGCGCTACACATCATCATAGGACAGAACGCAGAATAGCAGACAACTCCACCTCAACTTCATCCACTCTGAAAACGCCTTCGATCGAGCTGTCGACCGGGAAGTAATTTGACAGACAGCTGCTTCAACACTACGGCTTTAGTGCCACAAACCTTCATCAACCTCACTCAACATCAGCTATATGATGCTACATGCGAAGTGATTGACAATGGAAGTTGAGTGATGCCTGTGAAGTGGAGACAGGGACAGCATTGAGACATGTTTGCCGCCACCTACAATCATCGATCATCTTTCCTGATTGGATCGACTGGACTAGATTGGATCATGCAAGAAACTGTGAGTAGCGAGAAGATAGACATACACTGGCTGGACGACGAAAAGACCTAGAAAAAGATTTGTATTTCACCGATGATGATTTATGTCTAATGTCGCACAAAGTCAAAGATCTACGGATGAAAACTAACAATTTGGCAGAAAAGGCGAGGCAGCGAAGGAAGACTGGACTTCCATCAGGCTAACGTAGAGAAGATAGATGTGATGAGGATGCCCAACTAACAACAACAACAAGCACTGATCACCATCAGTAGGAGAAATTTAAAGGAAGTTGTCTCTTCCACCCACTACCTAGACGACATCATATGAATTACAGGCGGTGGCGGTGGCACAGATGAGGATGTGAAATCCAGAATCGGAAGGACAACAGGACAGGTCTCCATCAGTGTGAAATAATCAGTGTGGAGATCTACTGCACTGCACTGCACTCAGCATAAAGCGTGAACAACACCCGGATTTTCAAAACTAATGTCAAGCAGGTCAGTGCTTCTATAGATGATTGAGAGACTAGGCGTGTTACGAAAGCATTTCCAACAAACTGCAGACATACATCACATGAACAGCTGCCGCCTACGCTCACTCGATTCTGACACTGAAGATCAGATGACTAGAATAATACGAATAAGCAACAGAGAGCCGTGGCCTGTCAACGAACCAACTAAGAACCTATCGCTCAACAAATATGCTGAGGAAGAGAGTGGAGATGGATTGTATTGGACATACAGTGAGAAGACTGTTTGGGGATATCATGCACCAGGCCAAGTCGTCGAGGGGGGAAGGTGAGTGGGAAACGGCTAGTTTGGCGTCCGAGGATGATATGGATTAGACGGTATGAGGAAGAAATGGAAGCTTGCGGGCATTTGTGGATCCAGGTTGAAGAGATTGTAGAGAAGAGAGTGAAATGGCGACGTGCTACTGAAGCCGTATGTTGCACTCGAGACCCATGGGATAGCTACTTAAAATAGTTATAACAAATCAAAGTGAATCCTCGAATAAATCTTTCATATAGACGTTTGATATCTGTTCGCCAGTGAACTCAGCAGACAAGTGTTTGAAATAGTGACTTTCTTTCCTGAGCAGTAGTATGTTGCATTTCGGAATATGTATAATCTATGATAGGGGTGGGAGTAAGGGATTCCGCCATGTATACATGCAATGGCAGCTTTATGAAGATCGCTTATTCCCCCTTTGTGTTTACTGAACATAATTTCATGTCAAAAAATATTTAACCGGAATAATTTACTTTGTATTTTTGGAATACGTAAACAGCTGCTCCAGCAATTTACAGTAGTGGATCAATCACGTATACAACTAATGATGAAATGTCATTACAATGCACTGATGAATCTTCTTCACCTGAATCCAGAGTGGAATGGATCTTTGAACCATCTGGTAAACCTCCTCCAGACAGAAGATTACCAAAACTAATAGGAAACACTTATGCATATGGACGAATTTATATATTTGCGTAAGTCAGTAATTCTTGCATGTTTTAGAAATCTTAATGTCGTCTAAGTGTCAGATTCCTTAAAGTTCACCGTTTTTTATCACAGCAAAAGATGAAATGAAATGAATGTTCTTGAAGAAGTAAATTCATAAAAGTAACTACATAAATAATTTACTCTTTGGTGTCTAAGATGAGGTCATACTCTTGAACTCCGGTTAAAGCTTATCAGTTTGGGATTAAAAAGTAGTATCATCATCCCCAGTTGTCAGTGGATAATAGAGACAACAGCAATTTTTGATTTCTAGAACATGAGTTTACTAATATTCACAACATGTTACTTACTTATATTTTTATCTGCCTGATGGTTAGCAGTTGAATCCAGGACATGCGTTTCGTCCTATATGAAATTCATCAGCTGACTGTACATGCACTCTAGTGAGTGATTTTGTCCCACTGGGACTCAACCACTTCAGACTTCATAGCCTTATCCAACAGGCTACTGGAGATTGATAGCCAGCTTTTTAACAAGGAGTATCAGTCGTTGTTGTGATACTTGTAATCCTCTTTTGCTATACAAGGTCGAATTGCTCGACCTCTGTTGCTAGATGGACTCCTATGGGAATGTTTCGATATTCCTCGATTATTCACTATATTATGTTTTGGTTGAGTCCTTACACATCAATTCATTTGAGCCTAATTATTTTTTGTGATTTAACACGTAAGTTTCGTGGGAATATCATACTAGAGAGTAAAAGCTGATAAAGGATCCAAGTTTAGATTTCCATGAATCTAGCCAGTATTCAAGCACTGAACATCTATCCTCCACAAAACATCTTGAATCCAGAATTTGTTGAAGAGACATAAGACTGTAATGACTGCTAATATATCAATAATTTCATTGAGTCTTTCTCTTAGCTAAAAGCATTTTGCATACTTCTAGAAAATTGAACTTAACTGTTCAGAAGTGAAAAGTCATGCTCACTTTTCGCGACATAGAAATCTTTTAATTAGATCATTCCTGATGTGAAGAAATGACTGAAAACTGAAAATATAACCCACAGAATATTCGTTACTATGCATTACTACTTCTCTTATTATGATTACTATTGTTGCTAATAATAATGATAGTGTGAACCTAAGGTTCGCTGGTCAAGAGAATTAGACTCTAAACTGCGGACCCTGAATTACAGCCGCCAACTTCAATGGATATTGGTTTGTTAGAGACGATTAGCATGAAGCTTTGCTCCAACTACTTTTCTTGTTTGTTCACACTCACCAGAAAAGGGGTTATCTGCGACCTTGACGGAACCGATGTCTTATCAGAAATTCGAACCCGTGCCAGCGACGTCACCCCTGAGCTATTCTCATAGAACTGACTGCCTGGAGGGTTGCATAAAGTACATTGATTGCTCTCCAATGACCAATCAATGTAGCTGTTGGAGTTATTCACTTATGTCAGACATACGGTCGTTAGCATTCTTTCTTACACTATGAGGTCTGCTCATATCCTAGTATCCAAGCCTTTGGGTAAGTGGTATATATTTTCATTAAAATACCAGTGTTTCTCTGAACAAACAACAGCACTTCACGATTACACTATAGACATAAAGCTATATAGGATCCACAGAAATTAGTTTGCCGAACTGCTAATCTTTGCCAATAATTCAATGCACTTTACTATGCCTGACTCTGGAATATACGAATGAAATTAAGCATAATGAAATCTGCTTATACTTTGATCATTCTGAGCTCACATGCTGAAAAAGAAATAGAAAGGGAGAGACTGATGTCTGAAATATAGTTGATGAGATTTATATAATTTGTTTATATGGTTATTTTCGCTGTAATCAACTATAACCATATGGATTGTGTTTATCAGCTGGATAGAGTGAAAGTTGGAAATAAATTAAAGACTATACAACAGAATAGAATGGCACACACACATACTACAATGATTATTCATCTAATCGTAGGTAATTTGTTGGTCGAATGAAATACAATGTAAACCAATATTTTCAGCTTTACCATGCACTAGTTTACTACTTAAATCGTAGCAGTAGTACAGAGGGAAACGAAACAAAATTTTAAGGGCCAAAAGATTATTTTCGATTAGTTTTAAGCATGTGAAGACTTAGGAAAAACTTCATCTCTATCTCTTGTATAGTCTGTCATTTTAATTCTATCCCACTACAATCAAATATTCATGTATTCTGTATCACTGAGTGAAAACTTTATTTGTATTTAAAAGCGATGCTGATAATAGAAAGATAACGACTAACCTTTTCACCTTTACTACAGTTGAATAGCTTTAGCCCTCTATTTCAATGGATTAAATTAAAGTGAGCGAACTGATCTTCATAAAGTGATCTTTATTGATATGAGTACCTACAGGACCTAACCGAAACCTGCTGTGTGGCCACCAAGCTACATGATGCGACACAGTAGTGCATAGTGTCGTAGTGTTTAGCGTTATAGTCAGTTAGCAGGTGATGTTAACCTTGGTTCCAGTTCTTATCGGGTATTATCAAGAAGAAGACTCAACCGCCTTACAGAATCTACTGTCTCTTTGATCATCCGGTTTCTTACATCTAACAAAGAGTACAATGCAATATAGTTTCACGTCATTTAACTTAGTAACCAAATTGCAATCTTGACCATTAAACTTAAGTCAACCTCAACACCACAGACTAGATGGCCATACCACTTACCCACTGGGAAACGATTTATGCACACAAAGGACTGATAGTTGAAGGTGTAACTAGCTAATGAGAGAACCTTACTGTGATTCGCGTTTGTAGTGTTAAGTTATAAAGGATGATGAGAAAAATGTCCATGGACTCCTTAGATTTATTTTCGAGCATCAAACTTTAGAAGTAAAATTCAAAATCAATAGGTCACGCGATCGTAGTCTGTATTCTTGTACTCAAAAGTTAGGAGCAAGTGAGTAGGCACGGCTATATACTTACTTGTACTGTACACCAACATTGGTTGATCAACGGATATACTAATGTATGAGGTTCGACTACTGATCACATTTTTATTTCACCTCAGTGACTATCGGGTTTTACGCGACTACCATGTGAATTTGTGAAGTGTTACTACCACTTGATTGTATTCAGACTGACTGCCTAGTCAGGACTTCTCATCCCACTCCAAATGTAACTGAATAAGAATGAGAGAGGAAGCATCATACTGATTATTGGTGATTGAAGTGAAATAAAATTCTGGTCGGCAGTCGGACCTGATAGCTCAGTTGGTAGAGCATCGGGCCGGTAACGCGGTGGTCGCTAGTTTGAATCCGGCCGCAGACCAGGTTTTCATCTCACCTTCATTCATCATCCAGCATAAATGCTAGTCCGCCAAACTAGGACTCAGACAGTCAAATTATATTTATTTTCATCTTCTCAAGCCGATCATTCGTCAGAATATTCAAAGGAATACTTACATTTTGAAGTCCTTTTTTTGCACATTGTTCTAGGTTGTAGATACCTTTACTTTGAAACAGCATGTGATTCGTTAACGAAAGAAGTGACTTTTACACTGATTGGCTGCAATGGAATCCAGGACGTGCGTTTCGTCCTATTTCGGACTCGCCTGCCTCTCAGTGACAGATGATGTTCCCACTAGGGGTCGAACTCAAGAAAGTTTACTTGAAACGTCATTGCTATCTGCTAGATCATCGTCGAGTGGACCGAATTGACCGGTGTCTATCGGCTCCTGCGTAGATACTTCGGTATTGCCTATGTTTGAGTTGCAAGAAGTGTCCGTTCTGACTCGTTGGTCTAGTGGATGACACTTTGGTGTTAGAAGTGATTGTCTTGAGTTAAAGTCCTAGTGGGACAATATCGCTCGCTGGAAGGAAGGTGCAAACAGCTGACGAGTCTCAAGCAGGAGGAAAGGCATGTCCTGGATTCTACTGCTAGCTGCTATCCATCAACAATATATAAAGTTTCCTCCTGGTTTCTGAGACTATTTTTGTGATCGTTTTCTGCAGACTGAAAACCGCAGTCAAGTTCTATGGGTAGCACAGAGATTAGTTATAGCACTATCACCCCGGTAACCTTGTTTGCAGAGGGCACTATGTTTGCATAACTATAGTCTTCCCAAGGGACCATGAGCTGATAAACTACCTGTTTTAATCATTTTTGATGACAGGTTACATGAAGCGAAGAACAAATCTGTAAGTGTCGTATATCTGATGTTAACTAGTTGGTGATGACTATTGGGAAGCCCTGTAATACTACTTTTCATACTGGTTGGCCCTGGTAAGCAGAGCATACCTATATCCTTGAGGGAACCGACGTATTCTAGAAGACATTCGACCCGATGTAAATGGATGCTGCAGTCAGAGACATTTTCATCGAGGTTTTGGGCCACTACAGACCTATTGTAGATTAGCGTTAAATATAGCGCTTTGCCACTGAGAATAACCATTTTCACCTTTTCTATAGACCATTTTGCAGTGCAACTACCAAACTAGTAGACTGGATTGTTTGAAGGCAGCGGATTGGGCTATTCGTCGAGCTTTAGTATTGTGTACTGACGTCGATTCCTTTCAAGACGCATGCTAATCATTACCTATGTGTATCTGAACAAAACGTCCACGGTCATCATTGGATAACCTTAGGGGAGGCTCACCGATCAGGTCACCAACTTTTATACTTAATTTATACGTCTATTCTTCACATCTTATTACTGAAATTCTTGAATCTCTCTCTTAATTGGCCAAAGTCTTGTATTTAACCGAGGACGTACTCTATATATTTCCAGAGCTAATAATTTAGGAGGTGTGACATTGAAGTACTTCTTGTTAAAAAGGTAGGTTCGATAGAAGATTATCGAATCGCCTTGATTTAAATATACCAATGTATCATCTGTATATGTACCTGCCTTCACTTTTAGTATCCTTCCTTCTTTACTAACATTTGTAATCTATTTAGGTGTCCGATATCAAACTACTTCAAATGAGATGAGACAACTTGCTAACAAGTTGGACACCGGGGAAGTTCAACCATCTTCCAGTGTGACAAAACCACCTTGATAAACACTGATGATTGGTTCAACTTACTTCCATCTACTCACATTAATAATAGTAGTATCTATCATACATTAAGAACTGATAATAAATATAGTTTAAAATTAACTTTCTAGTGATATCTATTCCGTCTGTAATCAGTAAGGTAATGCGCATTACGTAATTGTTAACATTAGTCTGGTCAGTGCAACTACAGGTTCAAACATCACAGAGGAAGCTAAGCTAAGCGTCTAACGATCTCAGGATCGTCGGAAAGCTGTGAAACTAGACTGTACGAAACTGAGCGTTTATTTGTGAGTTATATTTTAAAGCTAATGTGAACTAATCACTGCAACATTGTTGGGACTCAAGTCATTCACCGTTTTATAAAGAAACACAATCATTATCAGACTGAACAAAGAAATGCATACACTCGTATAGTTTTGAAATAGTGGAGAATATTTGTAGCTCAGGTGGATGGTCTTGGTTGTGTTCTCTGAGCTGGGTTGTTTCATCATCCTTCTAGACGACATCATCAGTACTAACTTCAGTATGAAGTGAGCTGTCAGCATCTCTCCGTAAGTGATTTATTAGCTTGCCTTGACCAACTGCTTCGTGTTTGACTGGTTGTTTCCTTTGATTGCTGTTTTATTGACTACATAGATTTTCTTGTTGGCTGTTCCTCTGCTTTACCTCTGACGTTTCTGTCGTTTATCAATCTTCTCATTGGTTGATAGATTGGGTCTATGTCTATACATGTATTGGTTGCTGACTGACTGACCTGAATGCTAAGCTTTTAGAAACTCTCTGGTATTCTTTGTGTTTTCCCTGTCCGTCCAAAATTTCTACATTGTCGAAATTGAATTCATATCCATAGTTGTCATCCACATGCGTTGAAATGAGTGATGAAATGTCATTTGTGACGTTTAATAGCCAATTGGTGTTCATGTAAATGACGAAGGTGAAGACGGCGACCACTTTGTCCAATGTAATGTTGACTACAGTTATTCCAGTTGATTTTGTAAATGATATTCGGTTTGTCCTCTCTGACTGTTGTTGCATCCTTTGGTCTTCATAATAGGGATTGGAGGGAATTTGTTGGTTGATGAAGGACACCAGTTTCGAGTGGTCTCAGAAATCTTGTCGTGATTTCCGATATATTCTTTATGTATGGTAGGATGATGCGTTTGTTGATTTCTGTTGATGACTTTGTAGTTGATGTAGGGGATAGGCATCTTGTGATAAGGTTTCATGGGTAGCCGTTCTTCTCATAGGATGGACATCAAGTAATCTTTTTCGTTTCTCCATGAAGTTATTATGCTGCAGTGTATTCTCTCTCTTTTGAATAGTGTCTGTGGGAAAGTGAGTTAGTGTGCTGTTGGGTTGTTGCTATTGTAGTTGAGGATTTGGTCAGTGTGTGTTGGCTTCCTGTACACTTGGGTTTCCAGTTTCCCCGTATTTGTTGTATTGACTAGAACATGGTAGTTGGTTGTTTGACTCCTTCTCCATTGTGATGTCGTCTAGAGGGAGGATGACAGCTTCATGATTCAACAACCTAGCTCAGAAAGCACAATCCAACTAAAATGTATACACTTTTCAAGCCTGCTGTATCATTTTGACAATCATACTCCTTTATATGCATATAATGAAGTTGATATTTATATCAGTCTATAAAACACACTGATTTTTATTCTGGATCAATCAACTTTTAATTTTCATTTCATTTTTTTTAAAAGAATTGCAAGAGGTCAACTTATCCCTGAACATTCTGGAAAATACACATGTATAGCTACTAATCCATTTGGAACAGCCAACAGTTCAATTACAGTCACAGTAACTGAGGATATTTCTCGTGGGAAACTTCGAGTAAGTTTTTGTTGAGAACATAAATTAAGAAAGTCTATCATATTTGGTTGTTTAAAATATTGAATACTTGACTTATCAATGTCTTAATTTACTTTGTGGTAGCTAGCAGTGTTACTCAAGATGCGGGTTTTGTCGTGTTTAGGACTCGTTGGCTGAATTTACTTCAGTTAGTGATGTTGTTTCCACTGAGACTCATACGTCATAATCATCACTTCAAATACTAAATGGTTATCCACTAAATCATGAGGCATCATTGATGCCTGTTATTTTCCTCTGTATGAGGTCTCATGCAGATACCTCAATACTGAATGAATGTGTACTGCTCTTCTAGGCAATATCAAGGCATTCACAGAGGAGCTGATACGCTAATAGAGGTGGATATATTCGATTCATTTCAACAATGGGCAATTATAAACGTCAACAAATAATAATACAAGTGTTTTGTTGATGCAGAAAGAGAGCCTAGTCAATAAAAATCTGTGTTACCCTTAACATATTGATGGAGGAGAAGAATAATGATATATTTCCCCATTATCGGACGTTTATATGAACTTTTGTAAATAGATACATCCACAAACGCTTTCATGCAGAAGAAAATGGAAATGGATTGGATATACACTGAGAAAACCATTCGGCAACATCATGCACCAGGGTAGACTATCGAGTGGAATCCAAAAGGGGAATGACGAGTTGGGCATCCAAGGCGACGATGACATGGAGGAGATTATATGAGAAAGAAATGAAAGCTTGTGGGGAGTGGTGGAGGCAAGTTGACAAGACTACAGATAACAGAGTGCACTGGAGGTGTGCTACTGAAGCCCCATTTTCCACTAGGAACCCAAAGGAAAAATAATAGTAATAACAGTAATAAACGCTTTCATAATCCTTTGCTTTCCTACATCCTTAGCCTATTCGAATGCCAGACAATTCTATATGCCTCTCTGAATCTTTTTTATTTAAGGTATCAGATTAACTTTTGTTTTGGATGTAAAGTCTATATGGTCACCAAAACTGCGCCCATGGACATTTTATCGGTAATACCTTTTAGACACAAAGAAAGTTATGCATCATGTATATTCAACTAATAACTTTCCTTGACATTCTAACTGTTAACCTTAATGTCTGATTGATTTTATCTGGTAATCGGTAGTGTATGGAAACGGTGTTGTTTACTAAATTAAATTAGTCTTATGCAGTTTTTATCGTGCACAAAATGTTAACCGGAACATTATTTTGCCTGGAAACAATAACAGTCAAAGAAAGATCCACCCTAATCAATTCCAGGATGTATTTCAGTGCTAGAATACAGTAAGCGAGTAGGGAAAGCAAACTGAACTGACTATATTCTATAAATGCTGCTGTTCATATTTCTATTATATTCCAAAAATAAAGTGGGAATTACATGCACTCGATATCATGTAGGATCGCCGTAGTTGACAAAACAAGAGAAACATTGTTTTTTCATACAAACGAAAAGAAATTACCAGATGGTATTCATCAAGGACTGACATCAGTTGGTGGGTGATTGAAAACCTCGAAAACTGAACAGCTATTTCTTCCTAGTATGGGACTCCTCATCAATACGCATCCACAACCCGGTTAGGGATTGAACTCAGGACCTTCTGATTTCATCACAAATGTGGGTTGAGTGTTTCAAGGATCTTAACTTCTGTCAATACAGCGCGACTAAAAATTCCTATTCATTGCGAAAATACATTACTGTATAGCGACCATAAGTGACATGCTTCTAGATGGATATCACGAAGTTCTAATGAGAAGCCGTGACCTGTGGGGTTAACCAATCAGAAGGGAAACGTATGCCAATTGAAGACCTTGAATGACAGTCGTGCCATATTGCGAATTGAAAGAAGTTGGAAACTACAAGCCATTGAACTGTGATCCAGTATGTGAATGGTTAACGTGTTCGCCGTGAAACATGTAGACCCTGAGTTCAATCAGTAGCCGGGTTATGGATGTATACTGCCGACGAGTCCCATACTAGGAGGAAACAGCTGTCGAGTGCTCCCAGATTTCCAATGATTTCTCATCTGATTTCATTCCGTGATAAATACTGCCCGAAAAAGAAACTATCTTTATGTGCTCTGGGGATGAATTATATGCAAACACTATTAAAGTGGTTAACAAAGAAATAAAGCCATTAACAAGTCGTGATTTCAAGGAGATGTCCGTACAACATGCAGACAAGCATCGGGTGTATCATTCGACATTCGTAATCCATGAATTATACTCACAGTTATGAAAGTAAAAGGTTAAAGATATGAGAAAACGAGGTTCGTCGTCTTTTTATAGAATTAGTGTTGTTGATTGTAGTCGTTCAAGCTAATAGCCATCAATGCGACAGTTTTACCAGGTGAACCTGTACTAATAAATGCATAACTTTTGACAGCAAACGTGAACGTAGAGAAGACGGAGGTGATGATGGTACCCAACTAACAACAACAACAACAAGCTCCAATCACCATCAACTGGAGAAACTTAAAGGAAGTAGCCCCTTTCACCCACCCTCCTAGGCGGCATCGTTTCAATTACAGGCGGTGGCGGCACAGACGAGGACGTCAAACCCAGGATCAGAAAGGCAGCAAGACAGGCGTTCATTAACCTGAAACCAGTGTGGACATCTTCTGCACTCAGCATTAAGAACAAGATCCAGATTTTCAACACCAACGTCAAGTCAGTGCTTCGGTATGGTTGAGAGACTTGGCGCGTTACGATAGACATTTCCAACAAACTGTAGACAATCATAAACAACTGCCTACTCTGGCTCGATACTGAAGATCAGATGGCCAGAATAACAGGAATAGACAACAAGGAACTGTGGCTGGCAACGGACCAACGGAGGACCTATAGCTGAACAAATATGTAGAAGGAAGTGGAGATGGATTGGGCATGCACTGAGAAGGCCGACTGGGGATATCACGCGCCAAGCCAGTCTTTCGAGTAGAACCTGCATGGGAAATGACGAGTTGGGTGTCGGTGCCGAGGATGACATGGTGGAGATGATGTGAGGAAGACATGAGGGTTTGTGGGCAGTCGTGTAGCGAGGTTCAAAAGTTTGCAGAGAACAGAGTGGAGTGGAGACATGCCAGTGACGCCCTATGTTCCATTAGGAACCCAAGGGACAAATAACAATGATAATTTGACAACAAACAATCCAATCGTGATCACAAATTCATGTTCTTAATCCAATGAAGTGAAGTTGATAAGCATTGGATGGTGATCCAATGATTATTTAAAATTATTGACTAGCTATCATTTTCTGATCTGATAAAAGAGTAAAGCCTGAGCACTGTAGTAGGTGATGATTCTATTTCAGTTGATTTATTGGATGTATTACACAGTGAAAAAATACTATTCACTGGATTACGTTTCTGACACAATTAAGTGTCAGTTATCAATCTCTTCCTCCATTCATTTCATCACATTCTGTTGTATAGTTGTGCGTAATCTCATGCGTAGAGATAGCTGAAACTTGCTCCACACTTCTTATCCTACGGAGGTTTTACAATCCTAAATTAGCTGAATATTTATGATCGAACAGCTGTCTAAACAAGCTTTGTAGGTTGAATGATGCTACTGATCCACTTAGGCAAAGTATTTTGAATCATATGCTAAAGTTGTGTAGTTATCTTCTGAAATGGTGGAGAATATTTGAAGCTCAGGTTGATGGTCATGGTTATATTGTGTTTTCTGAACTGGAGTGTCCAACTGCGCAGCTTTCACCGTCTTTCTAGACGACTCGATCAGCAGCAATAACTTCAATATGAAGTGAGTTGTCCATATCTTTCCGTCACTGAGTGATTCAGTAGGTTGCGCTGACCAGGTGGTTTATGATTGGTTGTTTCCTTTGACTGTTGTGTAAATCCACGCGGATAATTATGGATATGAGTTCAATTTTGACAATGTAGTGCTGATCTTGGACGGAGAGAGGAAACACAAAGAATATCAGAGAATTCCTAGAAGCTTGAAATTTAGGTCAGTTCGTCAGCACTGAGTAAATGTATAAATATAGACCCAATCTATCAACCAATGAGAAAAATGGTAAACGATAGAAAGGTCAGAGGTGAAGGAGAGTAATAGCCAGCAGGAATATCTATGCACACAACGACATAGCAATGAATAGAAACAAGCAAGCACAAAGTATCTCGTCAGGGAAAGCTACTAGATCACTCACTGACGGAGAGATATTGACAACTAACTTCATGGTGAAGTTAGTGCTGATGTTGTGTAGAAAGATGATGGGTGCTTCAGAACTAAACACTCCAGCTAGAGAACAAGATACAACCGGGAGTTACCTTCATATGACAGTAGACAATAAATGATGTCCAAAGTGATACCCAATAACCAATACTGTTTCATTATGTGACAGCTGTGATAGATCGGTTGAAATAGGATTCGTTGCGGAATAACATCAGTTGGAGAAGCATTGAAAATAAATTGCAATGGACGGATATTTCGTTTTAGTGTGGACTTCTCAGCAATAGGAAGCCATGAACCCACCTACTACCGAACTCAGGTCACCCAAGTTCTAGGGACAGGATGTCACCAGTGAGGCACTGGGTCGGAAACCAATGGTCCACGATATGGCGCTACCATTATCTGATACCATCGTTGAGTATTTGTCCTCACCTGCGACTTGGTTCGCTCCACCAGGTTACGGATTACTATTAGGACCTTTAAAACTTTCATTTCGAAACAAGTCACTGGTCAGTAGTAGACATTAGTTGATTTGGAGGTTTGAAGTGATCTAGGATTTCCCACTGACTGTCATCACTTCTAAAACCGGTGAAAACTTGAGAGCCGTGTATACAAATTACTTAGGAGTCCTATAGCAGGACGATGCAGTTGTTCAGTGCTCATGGATTTTTAATAGTTCCTAAACTTTTGTTACTTAAGGATCAATATGAAGTTGAAATCAATAAATCCCAATAAACCTCAGTTATCTGTCAAGCAAACCACCAGCGACCTTGAGGTCTCAAGGTCAAAGTGTAACAGTTAGCCAATCATTTTAAAATCTACTTGTCTATTATTGAAAGTATCTTTGAATAATTATACCTTTTTTTTACTTTTTACTTTTTAAGTTTGTTCGAAGAATTATCCGTCGTGCACATACTGCATAAAAGTTTCTACTCTGTTATTACATGGGTCTCATTTTATCAACAACAGAAAAATATCATAATGAACATTCAGACATTAGATAGAAAGATTTTTTTGCAATTATATATTACATTGTCTAAATATACTCTTGTCATTAATAATAATAATAATAACAATAATAATAATCATAAATCTAAAGTGCTTTATTTAATTCATGTTGCGTTTTGTTATGAATATCCACTTTTTCCTTGTTTACATGTTTTTCTGTTGTAATCGCTGTCGATTACTTCCAACGCTCATGAATATTTAGAACCAATTACTGATAAACCATAACTGCTATTAATGTTGTTATTATTATTACTATTACTACTATTATTATCACTACTACTACTACTACTAGCATAATTGTTTACACTGCTATAACATCTAAATATTGTTTGTCTTCCATATTAATAGGAATAAAGAAATTTTGCTAAAATACATTATATCCTATCCATCCCGGATGTATTTGATCCTATTGTGTTTAAATATTTGCTTTTCTCTTTAGAATCATTATTTAATAATCGTCATATTGAGGTATCTAACTCGAATATCAATTATAAAACTGTGGCAAACACTACTTATAAGAAGGCATATCAGTAGTATGCAGAGTAACACTGAAAAATATAGGAGAGAAGAAAACGGAATGCTGTAAGGCTTGATTTCGATCTTACTGATAAAGATGGAAGCAATATCATTCAGGTGATGGGTGAATGGATCTCGTTAGGCCTTTAGTTACTTCATAATAGGCAGTGCTATTAATAAGTTCATGAAGGAATTCCATATTAGATTCGAATTATAAATTATCATTGCTCATAATCATATCAATGTGTAGTCAAACAGCAGTTTCAACATTTGATTTTTATAGTTACATCACCTCATGTTATTTATTTTCATTGGTAGTAAACATTTTCATATCTCTGGTATAAGTGTTGCGTCATTTCTATTAAATGCTTCGGGTTAGGTGTTGATTCCATGAAAGAAGATTCATTAATCAATCTGTCTCAATATCCACCACCGTTTACAGAAAACTGACACATTCCAACAGGTATCTAGACTTCAAGTCATCCCATTCAATGTCAGTTATTGAGGGTTTAGTCAAAAGTGATAAGGCTAGAAAACTGAATAGTCAGTGTATGGACTTACACAGGAATTGAAACACGTAAAAGAAGTACTAATGGTTAATTATCCCCCGCAGTTTATCAGGAAATTCGTGCGAACACACAAGAAACGAAAAAATAATAGTAACACTAGTACAAATAATAACCACAACACGAGTAAAGGGGGGTTCACAGCCTCCACTGTGTTACCCTATAAAGAGGGTACATCAGACACTTTATATAGGATCCTCAACAAAGCTGGTGGCATTTAAACCTATAAACTCACTCATAGATAAGCTTTATCGGCTAGCTAAAGGATTCGATAGAATCAATTAAGTAAAATAACCTGATCTATCAAATTCTATGTAATGACCGTGAGGTCAAGTAGATAGGTCAAATAGCCGGTTGGGGTTAGTCAAAATAGCCAAACATAGGGATTTAGCTAAATATAGAATGACAGACCCGAATAAGATTAATAATCTGGAAAAACACTCGCCTATTGTATTTCATGTATTAACATACAACCACATAATAGAATGGGTGAAATGAAATCACTGCACTCATGTCCGATATAAATAGGTGGATATTGAGAGAGATTGATCAATGAATCTTTGTTAATCAAATCAACACCCAACACAAAGCATGTAATAGGAATGATGCACCACCTGTATCAGAGATATAGAAAATTTTAGCACCAAAAAGAAAGAAAATGAGGTAACATGACTATGAAAATCAAATGTTGAAAGTATTGTCTGACTAATCTAATATGATTATGAGTAATGATAGTTTATGATCGAAAATTCATCAAGTAAATAATACTGTATCACTGTGCGCTATATATTAAATAAGCAAATATGCAGAAGGAAGTGGAGATGGATTGGGCATGCACTGAGAAGGCCGAATGAAGACATCACGCGACAGGCCAGCCAGTCCCTCGAGTGGAATCCAAAGGGAAAACGACGAGTTGGGCGTGCAAGGATGACATGGAGGAGATCATATGAAGAAGGACTAAGAGCTTGTGGGAAGTCGTAGCGTCAGGTGAAAAGACTCTATCTAGATAACAGAGTGAATCCCTATGTTCCACTAGGAACCCAAGGGAAAAAAAATAATATGGAATTAAATTCTACCACAGTTCTCAAGTCCTACACCTGTATAAAACCAGAAGATGTCATACCTAGCATACAAGTAGCATTAAGCTCGATGGATGTGACAACTGCTGAACAGGTTAGAGCGCAGTGTGCATTAGCACTTAAAAAACAAAAGAAGACACAGCGAAACTTAACGAAACTGGAAAATTCAGCTTTAAACAATCTACGAAAGGATAATAGTATAGTAATTGCTAAATCTGACAAAGGTAACTCAACAGTAGTTATGGACAAATCGGATTATCTTAAAAAAATGGATGAACATATCCAAACAGGGCCATATGAAGAGATTAAGAAACCTATAGATACTGTCATGAATAAAATTAAGAAATCTACAACAGATCTGATACGCCGACTGAAGCCATCTCTAGGTAAGTCCGAATGGTTTACTTTAATGCCAAAAACTAATAATCCTAGCAGAATTTACGGTACTATTAAGGTTCATAAAGCAGGTTATCCCATTAGGCCGATAGTTGACTTCCGGAACACACCAACATATGAGATATCAAAGTATTTAGCATCAGTATTACGTCCTGTTAGAGACCGTTCCAACTCTAGACTAGTAAATTCTTACGAGTTGAAACAAAAACTTAATGACCTGCACATAGAAGAGAATGAAAAAATGGTTAGTTTTGACGTAACAAGTCTTTATACTAAAATACCAATCAATATGGCACTGGAGGCAGTCAGAAATCAACTAGATACTGACTCACAACTTACTCAAAGAACCAAGGCATCGGTTGGTGAAATCATGTTAGGAGTGCAGTTATGCTTAACCTCGACAGTCTTCAAGTTTCAGGGAAAGATATATAGACAAACAGAAGGAGTAGCAATGGGATCACCAATATCCCCTATAGTAGCAGATATATTTATGGATAGTTGGGAAGATATGGCTTTACGAACATATAATCCGACACCTAAGATATGGTGGCGATATGTAGATGACACATTTACAGTGTTGAAATCGGAACATATCGACAGTTTCTTGACACACATAAACTCAGTAGTTAACGCAATCCAATTCACTTACGAAGAGTAGAAAATGAACAAGGAGAATTACCTATGTTGGATTGCAGAATAAAACGAAGGATAGATGGTGGTTTAGATACTACCGTCTACAGAAAACCAACACATTCTAACAGGTATCTAGACTTCAAGTCATCTCATCCAGTGTCAGTTAAAGCGGGTTTAGTCAAATGTCTAAATAACAGAGCTGAGAAACTCACTAGTCATTGTAAGGACTTAAATAAGGAATTGAAACACATAAAAGAAGCGTTAATAATTAATAATTATCCCCATCATTTTATTAAGAAATTCACAACACATAAGAAGCAAAATAATAACACTAATACAAATACAAATAATAGTGACAACATAAGTAGAAAGGAAATCAACACCTCTATTGTGATACCATACAAGGAAGGAACATCAGAAACCATACGTAGGATTCTCAACAAGGTTGGAATTAGGGTGGCATTTAAACCAACAAACTCACTTAGAGGTAAGCTTTGTCGGCTAAAAGATCCGATAGAACCAATTAAGCAAAATAATATAATCTACCAAATTCCATGTAATGACTGTGAAGTCAAATACATAGGTCAAACTAGCCGGTCGGGGTCAGTTAGATTAACAGAACATAGGAATTTAGCTAAACATAGAACGACAGACCCCAATAAGATCAATAACCTAGAAAAACACTCAGCCATTGCATTACATTCATTAACACACAACCACACAATAGGATGGGACAAAACCACTGTACTTAAGTCTAATATAGCTAGGTGGAGAGAGAGATTAATTACTGAATCTTTGTTCATCGAATCCACACCCAACACATGTAATAGGAATGACGCAACACCTATACCAGAGATATGGAAAACTTTACTACCAATCAAAAAACAAAGAGAGATCAGGTGACAGGACTATAAAATCAGATGTCGAAAGAAGTGTGATTACATTGATATGATTATGAGCAATATAATTTATGCTCGAAACGTAATCAAGTAAATAATACTGTATCACTGTGCGCTATATATCAAATAAACAAATCTAATATGGAATTACATTCTACCACAATGCCCAAGTTTTACACTGCTATTAATGATTTTAAACTTATTTATCGAATTCGCTCAAATATTTCATGTTTTATCATCTTCAGCTTCTAAAAATTGCAGAGTCTTCAGCTATCTATGGAATGAAGTCTGATCTTCGTGTGGAGAAAGATAGTACATAAAGTCTTTGTGTCTACCTTAGCCTTAATTTTGTCTTGACTTTTTTTTACTGCAATCTTTTCGACTTCTTTATAAGTTAATCTTTTTACTCTTACATGTCATTACCATCATTATTTGCATGTTTACTATCTTCTGGTGCTGTTTCACCGCATCATCTTCTCAATAATTACGACTTTCAATAAAATATTTTCGTTTATTCCGATTAACCGGTTGTCTCATCCTTATAACCTAATCCTTTGATTTAGTTACTGTTTGTATTAGCCTGTTGTTGAGTGGACCAAATTAATCAGTCTCTGTTGGCGGCTATCTTGGTATTACCTGTCGTTTTAACTTTATGGTGATGGTGAACAATTTCTAATAGTAGGAACCAGGATTTACATTTCGTTCTATTTCAGAGTCATCAGCTGGATTTTCCCCCTTAAAACTCGAGTTCGGGACCAGATGTTTCAAACTCCAGCCTAACGAGTCTCGATAGCCATTTCCTGTAAGATGGGTATGGTTTTCTTGT